CATTGCTGGTCTGCCCTGTTTAGAGGAAGCTTTGGATTGCTTTAAGCAAGTGGGTCTGCTGCCGTTTGTCACAAATGAAGAGCACTGGAATGAAGAGCTTCTGCTTCAGTTCTATGCCACCCTCCACATTAAAGGATACAACAGAGATCCGAAGACTTGGGTACTGGAGTGGATGACCGGAAATGTCCATCATGAAGCCAATGCATTTGATATCATTGAGCTCACCGGCCTGCCCACTCCTGGCGAATTCTACGAGGAAGGCTGTCAACTACATGCTGAAGCTATTGAGAGCATATTCCAGAGGCCTGAACCAAACATGAGTCAGATGCTCTCAATGATGAAGCCATTGCCCCACGATGCTCCTTATCCAACATAGTTCTTCATTGAAGACTTTGAGTTCCTGCCCAGGACCATATATCACATCATCCGGCGGACTCTCTGGCCTATTAAAGGGCACTCTCCAAATTCCAAGATCGAAGGTGCAATGAAGACTATGATATTCTGTATCCTTCATGGCAAATGGTTCAACGCACAGGATTTCTTCATACGCCAACTTGCAGCGTCAGGCTCAGATTTATTTGGTTTGAAGTTCTATGCTCCTTGGGTGATGAGGCTGATCAAACTGCACTCTGCGATCTTGTATCAGCCCTCAGCCCGAAACTATCGAATCTTCTTGCCAGATGTGGATACCTTTGTTGAAGCTATATATCCAGAGCCTGCCAAGCAACCGTTGAGTCTTCAGAATGCAGAACACCAAAGCTTCACTCAGAACGATGAAGGTGTTGAAGCCATCTCCAGGGTGTATCCTTTGGCTGGCACTACACGTGCGCCACACCCTGCTTCAACTGAAGCCACTGATAGTGCAACTGCTTCAAGACCCAAGAAGCGCACTCGTGTTCTCACTGACCGAGAGCTTCTTGTGGCCCTTCATCAAAAACAAGACAGGCATCACGACTGGCTAAAGCATCAGATGAAAAGCCTCTTGGTGGATGTTAATCGTCTTCGAAATTTTGCCACCAAGAATGCCTTCGTCACTCATGAAACCTGTCGTCGTACATGGAAAGGGCTATCAATGATGTGTACTGAAGCTGAACTTGAAGAGGATGGCTTCACTGAGCGATTCAAGTTTGACACCACACCTCCAAGAAGGGCTGTGATGCGAAACACACCATCACTTGAAGACTCTAAGTTTTTTTCATCTGCTGCCACAGTCACTGCTAGAATCATTGATGAAGAAGACGATGCTACATCACCGCCACCTGCTTCAGCACCTCCAAGCTCTTCTGCACCGCCAAACACCTCCAACGACCCTGCTGCTTCTGGGAACGAGTAGACACTCTATGTCTTCAAACCTTTTTGGTCCTTGCTGACAAAAGGGGGAGAAGCATATGGGTTGATAGTCTTCAAGCGGGTCCATATGGGCGGGTGCTTTATGTTTTACTATATTTTGCTTCGTGCTTACAACTCTCATTTTTGCTTCATTTGGTTCTTTGAGTTGTAACACTAAAACTCGATGGTCGTCTGCTACTCATTTGCCACCTTGTTTGCGAAGATAAATTCCGCATGTGCGACGATAAATTCTGCACTTATCTCATTCTGTAGACGTCCATTTTCCATTATGCATGTCATCATCTTCATATACATTCATATGCATAGTGGATTGTCATCATAAGCTGAAGTGGATCTCCGCAAGTACAACCTGCCATGTGCATTTGCATTCCAAAAGCAAATTAACTTATATGCACATCTTCAGGGGGAGCCCTTGCAACTTATGAAGACAATTCCTTATCCTTTAAAATTTCACAGACTATATTCACCGTTGAAAACTTCAACTAGTTTGTCATCAATCACCAAAAAGGGGGAGATTGTAAGTGCATCTAGTGCCACCCCTAGTTGGTTTTGGAGTATTGACGACAAACCTAGTTGAGGGACTAATGTGTTCGTGAGAATTGCAGGATAACACAGGTAGAAGTCCCTCATTGATTCGGTTTTACTACCAGAGATGACCCCCAAAAATGTATGAAGACATTGAAGTCAAAGGTGGTATATGAAGATATTCACTTTGAAGACTATGACAAAAGAAGGCATGTTATGAAGCCTATGGAGCTCGAAGACTTAGATCTTTCGTAGTTCATTTTCTTTTGTGTTGAGTCATAGGAACCATCGTACTGTTAAGTGGGATCCAGGAGAACCAGTCAGAATGACTGAAGTGATGACTAAACCAAAAACCTATGTCTTCGAGTGAAGACAATGAGAGCGAATCTTGTCCAGAGCCGGACAAGTCAGCTTTGCTTGTAGCCCAAGTAAAGTTGCCATGAGAGTTTGAAATCTGAGCGTTGAGACACGTGTCAGTTCCTTAGTGACCCAGGGTCATTTCGGACAAATCAGGTCGGGTTGCCAAGTGGCTATAAATAGCCCACCCCCTACAATCATAAACGGTCGGCTGCTCAGATTTTAGTGCACGGCTTTTGTCGTTTGAGAGCAACCCACCTCGAAGTCTTTGAGAGAAAATTCCTAGCAAGGAGAAAAGCCCTAACCACCCAGAGCCAGAGAACATTGGGCATCACTTAAGTCTTCTTCTCTGTGTGATCTGAAGACTTATTACACTTGAGGACTGTGAATCCTCCAGACGGTTAGACGTCGCGTTCAGAGCATCCAAGAGACATTGTGGATTCCCAGTGAACGAAGTCTGTGAAGGTTTGGGAGTCTACCTTGAAGACTTACCTGAGTGATTGGGCGAGGACTATGTGACCTTAGCTCAAGGAGAATACGGTGAGGACTTGGTGTCCTGAGCTGCGTGTTCAGGACTGGGTGTCCGGGCTGTGTGTCCTAAGGTTTAAATACCTAGCCGCTCCAACCAGACGTACAGTTGTCACAGCAACTGGAACTGGTCCAACACATCATTGTCTTCAACGAGTCACTGGTTTCATCTTCACTTCCTTTTACTTACTGTTACTCATTGTGAAGCCATTGCATGCTTGCTATATCTTTTGTCTTCACAACGTAACTATATGATTTGTTTGACTTCATAACTTCTTCCTACCTGATCCTTATTACACTGCAGCTACTTGTCATTGTGCTTTCACTCTATTGAATACTTGACCATGGCTTGCCTAGTGTAATCTAACTTCCGCTGCATAGTGATAGGCATATCTCTACTGTTTGTCTTCTTAACTTCCACGTTTTGAAGACTTTCATAAAAATCGCCTATTCACCCCCCTCTAGTCGATATAACGCACTTTCATTTATTCTTAATAAAACGAGCATCCTCCTAAAAACAATCTGCCATGTTATTAATAACAAATCTTATTAATAAAACTATCATCCTCTTAATAATAACTAGCATACGTGCCTGTGAGTTGTAACGGGAGAAAAAAAAACACCCCTCATACACACTCAACGACATCGACAAATCCCTTGAAATGTTTCACATTGTCGTATGAGAAACAACATGATAAGTGGTGTTGCACGAAACCATAAAGGTAGGACGATATTTTATAATATACTAAAGTATGTCCAATTTATTAGACACACCGTTAGCACATATGCATCCCTTGTGCCGTCAATATTAGATTTTATAAGAGCATCAGACTATCCTATCTAGTCAATTTAAATGAGTAGAAAACATATATAATATGCATTTTCAATATACACCATACAAAGAAAAGTATTAATTAAGAGTGCACCCTAAACATGTATCTAGTTAATAGCATATTTGGAATCTATACATTCTTTTGAATGATTTCCATATATAACTGTTTAATTTGGATTTAGGATTTGAAATGTATGTTTTCTAAAGCATTTAAATCTGTCAAAAAAGAAAAAAAGAGTTTAAAAATAGAGTAGCTGGGCCGAAACTGCAAGACTGTGCACAGATGGGCTTAGGCTAGGCAATTTTATCATACGCCAACGAAAATTGAAGAGAAAATGCACGAAAAAGGAAGAACCAGGATTCAAACTCGGGTCTCTTCTTTGGAGATATTAGGCTCAATCCACCAGACTACTTCGATGGATGTGAAACATTTGGGGCCTCGCTGTAAATAAACAATAAAGCCGGCGGCGACTTAGAAGGAAAAACAAACTGTTTTTTTTCACCTACCGGTGGCGTAGGGGATAATTACTGATAACTTCAGGGGTAAATCTGACAACAGGCAGACAGAAGCAATAGCCGCTTTATTATCAGATAAAGATTTTTAATGATATTAATAATAAAAAAAATCATGCTCTTGATTATAAAAGCACCATGCTCTTAATAATAAAAATTTCATGTGAGAAAGTAAAAATATATATTCAAAATTGCCATGATGTGATAAAATTTCCCAAAAGCAAACCGACAACCGAACCGGTGAACTGGCAGTCCAACGGTAAAAACCTGACCAGACAGCCTTACCGATTCGATTACCGGTTCGGTTTTTAAAACTATGCTACTAATTCCTTCGTTTTAATTTCCTTCAAACCGAATGAGCCCTTAACTGGGCCTTCAGGCCTCATTTTGCAGCGGAACGGACTGGGCCAAGCCTATCCGGTCGTCAAAGCCAGCCCGCGGCGATCGGGGGAGTCGGAGCCGCAGAACCGAACGGGGAACAGGGGCTCGATTTCTTCCAAGAAGCAGAAGGCGGATCGGGAATTCACGGCCGGACTCCCGTTCCCATCGGTTCAACTCGCTCCCCGCCGCCTACAGCTCACCCACGCTCGCCGCCCTCCTCCGGAGAAGCTTGATTTTTGGGCATTAGAGGCAATTGAGATGGTGCCCGATGGCAGCGTCAAGGACCAGGAGGCCCCGAGCTCCTCGTCTCCACCCGCTGCGGCGATAGCGAGGGCGGCACGGCCACCTAGGCCAGTGAGCTTTAAGACTAAGAGGATCGTGTGGCACCCGCTGAAGCACCGCCGGTTCCGCGTGGGGGCCACCAAGACGATGGTCGAAGCCTCATCCTCCATCCTCCGCTCGGGCGGTAAGGGGAGCCAGAGAGGTGGGGGAGGCGACCACGGCGGCGGCGGCCATGGGGGCGCCCAAGGAGGACGAGAAGGGGCACACATGCGGCGGCTGGAAGAGGTAACATCATGCTTGGATGACCCTACCGTTCTCTAGGTCTATGCTAGATTTTGTTAGAGTTTTTATATTGATTAAAACATGCAGTGAGAGGATCTAGGCCAAACAATGGCATTGCTTCCCTGGGGTAAGATGGTCACTAGGAAAAGGAAATACATAGCTTGGTTCCTCGTCACTTGTTATCGCTGGTTGCCGCATTTGTAATGTGGCCATTGGTGGGTGTATGTAGATAGATTATATGCTTACATGATTATAGAGAAACCCCTCATGTATTTAGTTAGCTTAACTAGCACTCTTCTCTAATTTTTAACTCTTGTATAGGATCAACAACAATTATCTGATACTTTTATATTTCATTCACTGATACAAATGCTAATTCCTAGTCCGCGTAGATGTACCAATGTCAAGTACATACTTCAACGGTTTTGAGGAGACACAATCACCATTGACAGTATAGACGTTATCAGAAGAAAAGGTTAGAAATTCTTAAAATTGGATTATAGAAACTTTTTCAAAGGTTACCTATTGAAGTCATGTCTCTGAGTCATCAATGTCCCCAAAATTATCTAACTTGCTGAAAATTGCAAAAATGTCTCATCTCAGAAGACAGATGCTGTAATTAGTACTCGGTGTTTATGTTTTATCATGCATAAGAGTGTGATGTTGATTGGGAGGTGATTGATAGTGGGGGCGTCAATTGCTTGTGTCTTTATTTCTCTCTCCATCTCTCTCACTGAACCTTTTTGTGTGAAAAGCTGCTACGAACCATTTACTAAGCAAAAATACAATGCATACTTTTTGTTGTTGGTTTAATCAGAGTGCGATCTGTACAATGTATCTACACTGAGTATTTGCTTTTAAACTGGTGCTTGGTGATGTGTGGTACTGTGACACTATCAAGCACCTATAAACGACCACTTGGATTTGCTCTTGTCAGCAATTATCAGACCATATGAGTTGTTGTAAATTGCTGCTACCCTTTGGCTGTTGATTCTTGCTTTTGTTAGAATCATGGATAAGAAGAGAAGATAATGGACTGCACTGACTAAATATATGCTAAACGGCTTGGTCCTTAATTGATAACATATCCATATCGGTGCAAAGTACGCCTATTCGTCTTCTATTATATTCCTTAATTCTCCCCTTGCGAACATCTGTGGTTGCAGTGAGGATGGAAGTTTGTATTGTGGATATTCTAGCTTGAGAGGGAGAAGAGCAAGTATGGAAGACTTCTACGACATGAGATCATCTAAAATGGATGCTAAAAACATAAACCTTTTTGGAGTATTTGATGGTGAGAAATTCACCGTTCAAACACTTCATTGTGTCTCGTTTATTGTTCAGACTAAAGTTATTTTGTCATCACAGGACATGGTGGTTCATGTGCCGCTGAGTATCTCAAGGAGCACTTATTTGAAAATCTCCTGAAACACCCCTCTTTCATTACTGATACAAAAACAGCAATAAGTATGATGTTTACTCATCAGTGTTACTTCAAAATCATTCAGTGCATCTAGTAGGGTAATCGACCATAGTAACTAATGGTAATTCCCAGGTGAGAGCTATATGAAGACTGACTCAGATTTCTTGGATGCTGAAACCAATATTCATAGAGAGGCTGGGTCAACTGCATCAACAGCAATTTTTGTTGGCAACCACCTCTATGTGGCAAATGTTGGCGATTCACGGGCTGTAATATCGAAGGCGGGCAAAGGTGTGATTTTTTTTCCAGAACTTTTATCCCAGTTAATGTTGACCATGTATTATATGTTATTGTAATAAATCACTTCATAACTTTCTAGGATAAATGTTTGCATACATTACCTATTATCGCGATCCTGGTGTGTTATTTTAAATTTGCGATGAATCTCATTGCGACGGAGTATCATGTAGCAGATAAGGCCTCCTTTGGTTTGGAGGAATTTTGCAGGATTTTCATAGGATAGGATTTCTATAGGAAAAATTCCTTCAGAGCTCTTTGGTTTGTAGGAATGAAATCCTATTCCTATGGAGGAATTCTTCCTATCCTCCACATTTCATAGGAAAACAAACATTTGCCTAGACTCAATGGAAAAAAATCCTATGGTGTGAATCAAAGGGCATCTCTTTTTCTATTCCTATGCATAGGATTTGAGATGCATGTCATCTCATTTCCTATGACTTTCCTATTCCTATGATTTTCCAATCCTATGAACCAAAGGAGGCCTAAATGTTTTTTAGAGTTGGTATTTTTGTCGTATCATGTCAGTAATGCACGCCAGTTAATTTTACATTCACTTTTCTTTGTCAAATGAGTTACTGGACAGATCGTGTTTCAAGAATGTAAATAGGTGGAAACTGGTAGTTGATAATGTGAAATATCCGGTGTTTGTATTTGAGAAAATGTGTATATATGAAACAGCACAACTGAAAATGCATATTGTGAAACACGAAGACCGAATAGGAGCTATGTTTCCTAACATTTCAACGCTGATAGTATTTTGTTGGAGAGGCTCCCGCGGGCGGCTTGGGAGAAACCCTAGCCGCCGCCGCCACCTACCCCACCTCCAGTCCTCCTCCTCCCGCCGCCGCCGGAGGCGTCGCCGGGCAAAGCCCGCGCGGCGGCGGCGGGGACGTCTCACCCTCCTCTCATCCAGGCGTGGCGGCGCGGGGCGCTCGACTGGCGACGGGGACTCGCGCGCGGATGTGGGCATGCCCACGCAGTGGGTGTGCAGTGCGGCGGCGCGGGTGGTGCGGAGCCGCGGACGGCTCGGCAGGGACTCGGCGCTGCTCTGTCCCAGGGAGCTCCACCTTCAGATCTTGCTTCCTTGGGGTGGCAGCCTGCTCCCTTCGCCGGCGTTCCCCGTGGCCGAGGCCGGGGGCTGGTGGTGCAGGGCGGAGCTGGTGGTCAGCGCAGCGTGCGGGCTTGGGTGACGCGGTGTCCCTGTGAGCTGCCATGCCTGATCTGGGGGCGCCCAGATCTGGATCCCGCTGGTGCGGTGGCTCACATGGCCCGGCAGGCTCGGCTGGGGGGGGGGGTCGACGGTGGCTGCTGTCGACGGGGTAGGCGTGTGGTGGTGTGTTGTGGCCGGCGGTGAGGGATTGGGTGCAGGTGGCGGCTGAGATCGACCGGCTCTGTCTGTGCAGGTGCTCGAGGTGAGTGGCTGTGATACCGGATATCTCTTGCTGGACCTAGCGGGGACGCTCGCCGGGGACTGGCAGGAGGGGGTAGGTCTAACGCTGCCGGACTTGGTGGCCGGCGTGGCGGAGATGGCCGGGCTGGGATGCTTCAGGCGAAAGCCTTCTGCCGACATCGTCGGCAACTATGATGGCGACGTCCTCGGGCGCCTTTCCCTTCATGAAGGCATCATTAGGGAGCTACCGTTGCCGCTATTTTCCTGTGCTCTGGGCGAAAGCCTTAGATCCTTCTCTGGATCGGACGACGACGCCATCTTTGATGTCGTTTTCCCCCTTGGGGGCGTTGTATTAGGAGCCATGGATCCGCAGTTGGTCTATTGATGTCTGGGTTGGAGCGTTGGTTCGGGTTGTTGGTTTGTAGGGCGGTGGCGGTGGAGGTGCTCTGTGGCGGTGACCAATGCCTTGGTCATCCAGTGCTGATGGTTGGCCTCTCCTTTTGGGGGCTCGTGGCGGCGGTTAGGTCTCGGTGGTCGCTGCTCTTCGACGGCGTTTGAGGTTTGGTTGCCTCGCACAGTGCTCTGGTTCTCTCTATTTGTGACGGCGGCCGTGGTGTGGCCCAGAGGAGGTGCAGGATTGTCTCGGTGGATCATTGCCCTTCGGTGCGGTCTGTGGCTCTCTCTGTCGCGACGTTCCTAGGCAGTGGGATGCCCTTCGACGGTGGCTGCGACTTCCTAGCCCTTCAAGGTGCTGAGTGAATGCAGAGCAGCAGACGACTTCTTCTCTACGTCTTCTCGGCGGCGGACCTCCTTTCGACCAATCCAACAAAGCTAGTTCCCGCTCTTCTTGGTCCGCCGGTGGTGATGGGTGCTAAGTTCTTGGTATTGGCTGCTTGTCGCAGCTTGCTTCTGGTTCTCTCTCTGTGGTTCTTTGTTCGTAGCTTGCGTCTGGTTCTCCTCTCTGTTTTTCTTTGTTCCTTCTTGGGTGTGTTGGCTGCTATCTCTTGTACCCGTTGTCTTGTATCTTTCTTATTTATAATGAAAATGGTTCAGGCCGGCGTAAGCCCGCCGTAGCACCGTCAAAAAATAGTATTTTGTTGGATAATGCATTTGTGTAGTAGTTGCTTAAATTTCGGGGTTGGCTTACAACCATTTAAATATCCGGTGATTGTATTGCATGAGCAGCTTATCTACCAGTATCTGTTGATATTGGGATATTCATATAACATATTGGTAAATCAGTTCGGTTTATCTTCTTTGCAGCTATTGTGCTCTCTGATGATCACAAACCAGACAGAAGTGACGAGCGGGAACGGATTGAAAATGCTGGAGGAGTTGTTACATTTAGTGGTAAGCCTGACACTAGTTATATGATGATTTACTTTGTTGAAAACCAATCACGTGTTTGTTGAAATATCTATTAGCTGATAATGCCAAATGTTTGCTTTGCAGGAACATGGAGGGTAGGTGGTGTACTTGCCATGTCTCGGGCATTTGGAGATCGTTTGTTGAAGCCGTTTGTTGTTGCAGAGCCTGAGATTCAGGTGATCTTGCAATACTCAGTAACTTGCTGTTGTTTATACCGACTGCAAAGATGCCATTACACAATAATGCCCTAGGTCCTGATAGATGTCATGTATGCACTTGGCCACAGGGCAATTTACTTGAGTATTTGCAAAATATTTTGTCAGGAACAAGAAATAGATGATGAATTGGAGTATCTGATTTTGGCTAGTGATGGCCTGTGGGACGTGGTGTCAAATGAGGTCAGTATACCATAATACTCCATTCGTTCACAAATATAAGATGTTCTAACTTTTTTCTGAATCAGACGTTTTAGTGTTTGTTCACTCATTTCAGTCCATATGTAGTCCATATTGAAATATCCAAAACATCTTATAGTATTTGTACGGAGGGAGTACCAAATTTCATGCACAGCTGCACACACATTTTATTTTCCATTTCTTTGCGCCATGACTACCAATAGTGAAATCTCCGGTGGACTTTCTTTGTTGCATTATATATTGTAGTATGAGTTGTGGCAAATAGGGACTTGTATACGTCGTACCGACATGTGTTGTATTGAACTTGACATGTCTAGTGCACCATTGTGAAGACGCAGTGATGCAAACCAATTTGCTTTGAGCCTTATTCGGTCAGTTAATATACTATTGAAAAAGCATGGCTTCAGGATTGACAATTCGTTGACTTGTGCAAAGTTACCATCTCTTATTCTCTTCAGGCGAGAAGAAAATGATTTTCTTGCCAGCAGCTCGTTTGATTTTGCATTTAAAACTGTCATTCCTTGCCAAATTTGTGCTCATATATAATAAATGTGGTTTTGCAGCACGCCGTTGCATTTGTGAAGGAGGAGGTGGGCTCTGAAGCTGCGGCCCGAAAGCTGACAGAGATCGCTTTCACGCGTGGGAGCACCGACAATATAACATGCATAGTTGTAGAGTTTCACCGTGCCAAATAAGTGACCAAGGTTGATCTTCTTGTTTCTTTTTAGCTTATTATACATGGGATCACCTGCCATGATGCAGGTCGAACTATGGCCTCTTCATCGGTTGTCTATAATATTCCTTCATTTGTTGTGCTTGGGGTCATTGTAGAATTTCTCTTAGGGCTTGTTCGGTTTATAGAGGATTGAAGGGGGTTGAGGAGGATTAAATCCCCTACAAGTCTGCATCCCCTCAACCCCGTCCAATCCTCAATAAACCAGCGGAGAGTACAATCACGAGAAATTCTTGTGACAGTAGCTTCTTCGGGATAGGTTTAACCGAACAAAGACCAGCGAAGCTGTCATCATGAGAACCACTGTCAAGAATAGCTCGAACTGTGGACGTGTTTGCTTCACAGATGGTAACGCAAACGTTATGGAAAACATATCACATGATGTATTAGATGCAGAATGGACAAATACAGTCTCGTTTGGTTTAACCATGTAACGGAAATGACTCCCTTGACACAGCAGACCAGAACCACTAATAAATGAACAGCTTCTCAGAGCAATAAAATCAACATTGTTAAAACATTCAACTTCTAAAATAAACGCTTTTAGTACTTCACAAATCTGACCCACCCAATTCCGTCCGTTTCTGATACACTTTCATCTCTTTGTTCATTTGTAACTAATCAAGTGGATTTTTCAGTGTATGTGAAATATAAAGAGAAGTACTCTACTACTCCCTCTTTAGTTGTACTATTGAAACAATCGCAATCATCCATGTAATCAATCTTACTGGTTTGCAGCATGAATCCCTTTTTAAAATATTTGTTTTTACTAATTAGGAAGTGAATCCTTTTCTAAAATAAAATTTATTTACTATTTCCTTCGTAAACAAAATGTAAGATGTTTTAGATCACTAGAGCAATCATCCATGTAATCAATCTTACTGGTTTGCAGCATGAATCCCTTTTTAAAATATTTGTTTTTACTAATTAGGAAGTGAATCCTTTTCTAAAATAAAATTTATTTACTATTTCCTTCGTAAACAAAATGTAAGATGTTTTAGATCACTAGAGCAATTAGGAATTTCTACGAATGTGTCCTAATAAATACTTTCCAGAACAGAAAAAAGAAACTGAAGGAGAGAAGAAAAAAAGAATTTTACCGGAGTGGGATTTGAACCCACGCCCTTTCGGACCAGAGCCTTAATCTGGCGCCTTAGACCAACTCGGCCATCCGATCTTTGATACCCGACTATTGGGATTGTCCCTCATATCAGAATGGAATTCCTGACCAAGCCACTTATGTTTTTCATCAATTCATCAGAAACAGAAACAAAAGCAAGGTGACCAGGTGTTTTACCCTCGGACCAGAAAAACTGAAGTTTAACAAAAGGTTACAATGTCCCTCTTCCCATCCGAATGAAGTTCTATCCACCCACCTGGCTAGCTACAAATCAGAGTCATGGCTTCGCTTGTGAGGATTTCACGTATCGCATGGGTGGTCATTCATGGTGGAATCAGAGTCGAAAGATCGTGCCGTGAACTGTGATGGATGATGATGATGCCGCTTGTTGGTGGCATCGATGAATGCTTCTTCTCAGCGGCATGTGTTTGGCAAGATACATCGACCTATCGTGGCTGAGTCGCAGACATGTGCTGCTTTTAGTTCTTACCGGTTTGTCTGTAATAATAAATCAGAGTTTTTCCAAAATAATTAGAGCAAAATTGCACCACATTTTGGGAACTTGCTTTTGATATCCTGTCCCTGTAGTGTCGTGAAGTCAGAAGACATGCGTCTTTGAACTACCACTGACTCGGTGCAAATATTGCTGTACAATACGTACAAATGTGGTTCTCTGTAATTTGCGGGACTAAAATAAATTCAGCCGTTATAAAGGGAAGGGAAGCCGCGTCCCACGAACCCGGCGAAATATCTTATCTTCTCGTCCCCGCGCGCCAAGCCGCAGACTCACACAGAACCCAAAACCCTACGCCCCAGCCACTCACCGGAGATGGCCGGCGGCGATATTCTCCTCCGCACCCACGGCGGCCTCCCCGTCCTCGCCAGGGCCTCCCCTCGCAGCCTCCGCCTCCGTCTTACAGCCAGCGGCCGTCGAGCCCCTTCTTCCCTGGCCGCCGCCAAGGTCGACATCGGCGACGTCGTCAGCCAGCTCCGGTCGGGAAGCGCCCGCGGCGCGGCCGACCCGAAGAGGCAGCGGAGGGTCTCGGAAGGCAGACTTGCGTTTCCCAGGGTTGTCACGAGCAGGATAAGGGGTGCCGAGGAGGAAGGGGAAGGGGAGGCTCCGCAATTGGACGCGGAGAAGATTGGCGGCGAGGCGGGTGGCGTGGATGGCTCCTACCTCAGCGAGACACGGTAATAGAGAAAGCCGAAGGCTACAAACGCCCACTCTCAAATCTTTTCAGAATTGTAGAAATGGAGAGTTTGAGTTAATGTCGCCTGATTTTACTGTTTGAAATAAGAAATGCTGGGTGTTTCTACGAGTATAGAGCTTAAATATCAAAACAGTGTGGTAGGAATAAATATAGAATGTATGTTATAATACTGTTCTGCTACAGTTAATTGATTCTACAGAGTTCTAAACTTCTAATAGCGTCCTGTGTGGTAGAAATGGAGAGTTTGAGACATTGAGGTCAGTTAATGTCGCCTGATTTTACTGTTTGAAATATAAGAAATGTGGGTGATTCTATGAGTAGAGCTTAAATCTTAAAACAGCGCGGTAGGAAGAAATTTAGAATACTGTTCTGCTACACTTAATTGATTCTTACAGAGTTCTAAACTTCTAATAGCGTCATCTGTTTGTGTGAATGCAAATCCGTAGCATTATAATCGACGGTTGCCGCCTCTTTGAAGTATTGCTGTGTTTGACATTACGGTGAATTATATTTGTATCATTTGGTTGGGCCGCTGTTAGATACTTGGGTTCTTGCCTTGTCTTTTCTCTGAACCAAGCTGCAAATGGGCATGCTGTGTTCCAGAACATGTAAGTTGATGAGAGTATAGTCATTGGCTATATAATTTTTTATCTAACTAATTTCTTACTGCAGCTGTAAAATAAGTATGGCACAGAAAAACATAGAACAACAACCAAATTTTTTGTGTTACTCGGTTTTATGTAATTCGACGCTAGGGAGTACAGATGCCATCTGGAATTGGCGACTAAACAACTAATGGTTCTAGTTCGTGACGCCAGTTGCCAACTAGACTGGGTTTGCCTGAAAGTCGAGAACTGTCAATAGCTTTATGCATTTGGATTTTTCGGTTTAGTAATCTCCTGCATATTGCAGGTTTGATCAGTGTGCTATTTCTGAATTATCACTGAAAGGCGTCAAAGATGCTGGATATGGAAGGATGACCCAGGTGCAGGAGGCAACTCTGCCAGTAATCCTTCAAGGTCAACAAAACTGCATATATTGTTGCTTCACTCTGATACAAATCTCTTGGGTGGGAGCCCTGTAACTGATATTCCAATGTATTGCTCCACTACAGGGAAAGATGTTCTTGCAAAAGCGAAGACAGGAACAGGAAAAACCGTTGCCTTTTTGGTACTCCTTTTTATTCAGCCCCAATAGTCAAATCGATGGTGTTAGCATTTACTGAACTATTGCAGTGATATTCTAAATCATTATCCAGTCCAACTGAGTTTCCTTTTTGCGTTTCTAGCTGCCAGCCATTGAGGTTCTCTCTAAATTACCCAGTTCTCAACGGAGTCAGTTGCGGTCGTCTATAAATTTGCTTGTGATGTGCCCTACTAGAGAGCTTGCAAACCAAGTCGCTGTTGAGGCCAAAAAGCTTCTCAAGTATCATCGCTCGCTAGGTGTTCAGGTTGTAATTGGTGGCACAAGAATAACTCAAGAGCAACGTAACATGCAGGCTAACCCGTGTCAGGTGATTACTTATCAGCTCAAGTTTGCACATATCTAGGTGTGGTTTATGCACTAATACTTTGTTTTGGCCAAACAGATTCTTGTTGCTACACCTGGAAGGCTTAAGGATCATCTTGAGAACACACCTGGTTTTTCTACTCGGCTCAAAGGGGTGAAGGTTCTTGTTCTTGATGAAGCTGACCGCCTACTTGACATGGGATTCAGAAGAGATATTGAAAAAATTATGGCTGCCACTCCTAAAGACCGTCAGACACTGCTGTTTTCTGCTACTGTTCCAGAAGAGGTAACTGCGTCTGTCATTATGCACTTTTAATGCCTATTTACAGTCTAATTTTGTTGAATGTTTGTTATTAGGTCTGTCAAATTTCTCACGTAGCAATGAGGAAGGACTATAGGTTCATTAACACCGTTAAAGAGGGTGACGAGGAGACACATTCACAGGTTTAGACCATCATTTTTTATGAGCTGTACGGTAAATGTTTAAAGCAAGAAAGTACCTTACATTAGTGCTGCTGCATCAGGTTAGCCAGATGTATATGATCGCACCACTTGATCTGCACTTCTCTATATTATATGATGTACTGAAGAAGCATGTCGCAGATGATGCGGACTACAAAGTAAGTTATCTTAGCAGGTAGTTTCAATCATGCATATTTAAGATGTATTGTGTCTCCTTAACTCATTACCCATGCAATTTTGCAGGTGATTATATTCTGTACTACTGCAATGGTCACGAAACTTGTTGCTGAAGTTCTCTCCCAGCTGAAACTGAATATAAGAGAGATTCATTCCAGAAAGTCACAATCTGCAAGAACTAAGGTCTCGGATGAATTCAGAAGGTCAAAGGGTGTGATATTAGTTAGTTCTGATGTATCTGCCCGTGGTGTTGATTATCCTGATGTCACCCTTGTCATACAGGTAGGTTCTGTTTTCACAGATTTAATTTTACCAATATCTCATGCACATTCCTCATAGAATTTATTTGCATTTATAAGGTTGGGATTCCTGCTGGTAGAGAACAGTATATACATAGAATTGGTAGGACAGGACGGAAAGGCAAGGAAGGGCAGGGCCTCTTACTGTTGGCTCCCTGGGAAAGCCATTTTCTTACCAGCGTGAAAGATCTGTCGGTATCAGAGGCTGTGACGCCTTCAGTTGATTCAAGCACTCAAACAGAAGTAAGCAGTATTCAGTTTAAGCACTGCTTTTTTGCAAGGTTTATTAGTTGTGTAGCTCGTTGTGTCGTTTGATCAGTCTGGTGCAAATTCAGCAGCGATGGACTACTATTAGCTGTGCATTTAACCGTCGATTTTCTTATGACAGGTGAAAGGTGCACTCAGAAGAGTAGAGATGAAGAGCAAGGAATCAGCATATCAAGCATGGTTAGGGTACTACAACTCAAACAAGACCATTGGTGGTAACAAGTCCAGACTTGTTACTCTCGGCGAAGAGTTCAGCCGGAGCATGGGACTTGCGGCCCCACCAGCCATACCCAAGCTCATTCTTCGTAAGATGGGTCTTAGCAAAGTTCCTGGCTTTCGATCTACATAGCCTGATCTGCAAGGGCAAAAGCAGGACTCATGTGCTAGAGCGCACGACTGGGCCAACCACAATGCACCTCAGTGCTGCTGATACTGGGGATTTGCAGATTGGTCTGCGGAGGATGGTCAGAGTTTGGACAACCATAGCTTCTCTCCGAGCTCAGAAGTCTTCACTTCCAGCATGGCCACTGTATTATTTTTGACGCCAAATCTTGACCGGTTCTTTAGTGCTGGTATGCTAAATCTTGACCGGTTCACTATCCATAGGAGACGGGTTCAGACAGACCCCATTGATTCATTATTTAAAGCAACAGACCAAACGATTCAGTGTCCTGATAGGATATGCTCTGATCCTTTTTCAGAAATGTATTGCTCACTGTACCACAGGGCACCACATACCTTAACAAACCCATGTCGCTACGATATGTATCAGCTAGTATTTCTGCCTGTTGTATGGAATCAGGCTTTTTCTGATGGGCAGATTAATGTGATGTATCGTAAATCTGTTAAATGCATTATCAGCATGGTCACTCCAGATAGATTGTATTACCTCAGTCAAACGACAAATCTAAGACAACTAGTTCGCGACGGAGGAAGTACAAAACGTATTTCCTTACACCCTGTTTGGATTTAGTGTTAAAAAGAGAATGGGGTGTTGCTTAATGTCTGGCTTGCTTAAAATGCTTAGTCATATGCTCCAAAAGCGTTCAACCACTTTCTCATTTTCACATGTGTCCCAAACCAAAAGTCAAACTTGGTTTCACCGATTTGATCTATCCGGTGCCACCGAGTTCATTTGACATAGTCATAGACAGAAACCCTAATCATTTCGGTCTCACCGATAGGGATCTCGGTCTCACCGAGATGGGATTGCAAACTCTCTGTTTCCCTTCGTAACGTTTCAGTCTAACCGAGATGAGCGATCGGTCCCACCGAGTTCGCAATGCAAACTCTCTGTTTTCCTTCCGTAACGTTTCGGTCTCATCGAAATGAGCGATCAGTTTCATCAAGTTTGCCCGACCAACTCTCTATTTGCCTATTACTGAAATCGGTCTCACCGAGTTCATGTGATCGGTCTAACCGAGATTAAGTTATGCCCTAACCCTAACATATCGGTCCCACCGAAAAGCCTAACGTTCACATTTTGAACTGAATCGGTCTGACCGAGTTTCACTATTCAAGTCCCACCGAGTTTGGTAAATTGTGTGTAACAGTTAGATTTTATGTGGAGGCTATATATACCCCTCCACCCTTCCTCCATTCGGGAGAGAGCGATCAGAACGTGCCTACACTTTTATTACTCATTTTCTGAGAGAGAACCACCTACTCATGTGTTGAGACCAAGATATTCCAATCCAACCACAAGAATCTTGATATCTAGCATTCGCCAAGTTGCTTTCCACTCAAATCATCTTTCCACCATATTCAAATCTGTGTGAGAGAGTTGAGTGTCGGGGAGACTATCAGTTGAAGCACAAGAGTAAGGAGTTCATCATCACCACACCATCTATTACCTTTTGGAGAGTGGTGTCTCCTAGATTGGTTAAGTGTCACTTGGGAGCCTCCGTCAAGATTGCGGAGTTGAACCAAGGAGTTTAGGGCAAGGATATCACCTACTTCGTGAAGATCTACCCAAGTGAGGCAAGTCCTTCGTGGTCGATCACTACAAAAAAAGACACATCCGTGACATTTTGGGCCGAACGAATTTTTTTGTCATGCTTATGACGATAATTGTGACAAAACCCGGTATCATCATAAATGTGGTGGGCTCCTACTTCTATGACAAAAAATCATGACAGAAACTGGACTTTTCGTCCTGGGCGGGCCGGAGACGCAACTGCATGACATTCTTTGGGTCGTCCATGACGTCAAAAACCGTGGTAGAAGCGAGGGCGAGGAAAATATCGGGGAGTTCCCGGTTACGGTGGATGGTCGGGGGCCGAGCGATACGCGTTTCTCTCGTACACGTACGCGCGCGTGTGCGAGGCGTTGCGCTCTAACTGAACCCGAGCGAGACGTTGGGCTCTAACTGAACCCGAGCGATTGCACCAGCTACGTTACTGAACCCAAGCGATTGATCCCTTGCTGTTAACTGAACCCGAGTGATTCCTTCGCTACTGTTGCTAACTGAAACCGATCGAACCCTGTCGCCTCCTTCCCTTGATGAACAATGAGTGTTGTTTGGGGGATTTGGATGAACAGTTCCCGGTGGGGGGTTGGATGAATAGGACCCCATGGTAGTAGAGGCCATTGCCATTGGATGAACAGGACTCCGATCGAGCCGGTTGGCGGTGGATGAACATGACCCCGTGGAGGGCTGGATGAACAGGACCCCGTGGAGGGCTGGTTGAACAGTAGCCGGTGGAGGGCTGGATGAACAGTAGCCCGTGGAGGGGTGGTTGAACAGGACCCTGTGGAGAGGGCTGGTTGAACAGTAGCCCGCGAAGGAGCCATGGAGGCTTGATGAACAGGAGCCCGTGGATGAACAATCGCAGGTGGAGGCTGGAGGAGGTCGACGGTGGATGAACAGTAGCCCGTGGAGGCTGGAGGAGATCGACGATGGAGATGAACAATATCTCGTGGAGTCCCGTTTTACGGTACGCCACACCCCTCCCGATGAACAGGACCCGCGTTTCGACCGTAGCGCTCCAACACAAGTCCGTTTCCTCCATTTTGCGGTACTCCACACCCCTCCCGATCAACCGGACCCCGTTTCGACCATAGGAGGTCCAAGGGAAGTCCGTTTCCTCCGTTTTGTAGTACGCCAGACCCCTCCCGATGAACAGGATCCCGTTTCGACCGTGGCTAGTCGAACACAAGGTCGTTTCCTCCGTTCTGCGGTACGTCAGGCCTTGTTTCGATCGGTTGTTCCATCCAAGCCGGTTGGCTCCCGATGAACACGACATATTCCGACCCCGTCGGTTGCCTCCCGATGAACAAGATGTTGTTTCTCCGTTCTGACCCAGCCGGTTCGCTGCCCGATGAACAGGACGCTGTTGCTGCCGTCCGTTGCCTCTCCATGTACACAAGCCCTGGCCGTCCGTATATATATGCGCAAGTACGCGCTCGGGACCCCGCCCGTATGTACGTACGGTGTCGTATTTTTTGCCCTGTGGTTGTACGTACGTGTACATGACTTAGACAGGACTGCGTGAACTGCTATGTCGGGTGCTCTACAACGACATGTGCCGCTACTTACTCGGCCACAGTTCATACTTGCAGAGAGATCGATCGACCAATATGTACGTACACGTTCGCAACCAGAATGACAATGCTATGTACGCTTCGACCAGGTGGGTCCCGACTGTTAGGCACTTCCTTGCGTGCGAAGATGTAGCTGGTGGGTCCCAGCAGTCAGGGGGCAAATATTTTTTTTGCGAAATACAGTGGCTCGTCAGGTGGGTCCCTGCTGTCAGATGGAGGAATCATTATTTTCCATGTAATAAGGAGGCACTTCCTTGCTACGTCCGTGGACCCAGCTATCAACCTCTCCACATATAGTACTCTTTCGATGGAAGTCGTTCCTTGAGCACTTGACCACGCCGCGCCGAGAGCACCAGGGCGGTGGACGACGGCTAGGCCTAGGAAGGGGACGACGCGGAGCTGGGGAAGACGCGGCAGTGGAAGCCCACGCAGAGAGGAGTACGAGGGTTCACTGGTTCGGCTGCGGTGTGAGGCTGCCGTCGCCGCAGAATAACAGGGGGTGTGGGTGAGTGGATGGCCTGGTCAGCGGTGGGAGTAGTAGGGGGCGGTGAGGCCTCTGCGGCATCACAGCCAGCCACGGGAGGCAAGAGCTCACGGCACGACCGGTGCTGGTTTGGGCGGATGGAGCAAGAAGACCAGAGGTTGAAGAAGCACTACGACTGTTGGATGGACATCGTATGGTCACTGGAGCTAGAATCATTCATATTGACTAAGTTGACAAAGCCCTCCGTACCCGTCAACTTAGTAGGCCCACAAGTCAGCCTCCCACTATGGCGGGTCCCAGCTAGCAAGGGGTATTCATTTTTTCTGTGCGTAATAAGGAGGCCCTTTCTTGCATGCGAAGATATAGCTGGTGGGACCTACCTGTCAGCACGAGGAACATTTTTTTCGCGAAATACAGAGGCCCTTCCGGTGGGCCCCAGCTGTCAGGTAGAGGAATCATTATTTTACGCGTAATAAGGAGGGATTACCTTGCATGTGGTCGTGGACCCAGTTGTCAGCCTCTCAACGTACAATCCACTTCCAATGGATGTCGTTTGTTGACCGTGTTGACCATGTCGCGCCAAGAGAACCAGGGCGGTGGACGATGGCAAGGCCTAGGAAGGGAACGACACGGAGCCAGGGAAGACTCGACAGTTGTTTCCCACGCGAAGGGGAGTACGAGGGTTTACTGGTTCGTCCGCCGTCGCCGGAGAATAACAGTGATGTCTACTACACAACCTTCTTCTTGTAGACGTTGTTGGGCCTTCAAGTGAAGAGGTTTGTAGGACAGTAGCAAATTTCCCTCAAGTGGATGACCTAAGGTTTATCAATCCGTGGGAGGCGTAGGATGAAGATGGTCTCTCTTAAACAACCCTGCAACCAAATAGCAAAGAGTCTCTTGTGTCCTCAACACACCCAATACAATGGTAAATTGTATAGGTGCACTAGTTCGACAAAGAGATGGTGATACAAGTGCAATATGGATGGTAGATATAAGTTTTTGTAATCTGAAATTATAAAAACAGCAAGGTAACTAATGATAAAAGTGAGCGAAAACGGTATTGCAATGCGTTGAAACAAGGCCTAGGGTTCATACTTTTACTAGTGCAAGTTCTCCCAACAATAATAACATAATTGGATCATATAACAATCCCTCAACATGCAACAAAGAGTCACTCCAAAGTCACTAATAGCAAAGAACAAATGAAAAGATTATTGTAGGGTACGAAACCACCTCAAAGTTATCATTTCTGATCGATCTATTCAAGAATCCGTAGTAAAATAACACGAAGCTATTCTTTTTGTCCAATATCCTAGAGTTCATACTAGAATAACACCTTAAGACACAAATCAACTAAAATCCTAATTTCACCTAGATACTCCAATGTCACCTCAAGTATCTGTGGGTATGATTATAGAATATGCATCACACAATCTTAGATTCATCTATTCAACCAATATAAAGAACTTCAAAGAGTGCCCCAAAGTTTCTACCGGAGAGTCAAGACAAAAACGTGTGCCAACCCCTATGCATAAGTTCACAAGGTCACGAAACTCGCAAGTTGATCACCAAAACATACATCAAGTGGATCACGTGAATATCCCATTGTCACCACAGATAAGCACATGCAAGACATACATCAAGTGTTCTCAAATCCTTAAAGACTCAATCCGATAAGATAACTTCAAAGGGAAAACTCAATCCATTACAAGATAGTAGAGGGGGAGAAACATCATAAGATCCAACTATAATAGCAAAGCTCGCGATACATCAAGATCGTGCCGAATCAAGAACACGAGAGAGAGAGATCAATGTGACGCCCGGAGACCGATGCACCAGGTATCTTCCAGTTATTCGCCGACGTTGCCATGTCATTCGCTTGCGTGTTGCATCTTGCCATGCCATCATCCGCATTGCATCATCATGTTTTTCAAAATTTGCATCCGTCCGGGTCTCCCAGTTCTTTCCGTTGTCCGTTCTGAGCCCAACCACACTTGCACGTGCCCGCGGCACCTCCGAATTAGTATTTTATAAGTGGCCGAAAAGTGTTCCCGAAATGGGTTGAAAGTTGGCATGCGGTGTTGTTATGTTGTAGGTAGGCCGCCTGCCAAGTTTCATCGCATTCGGAGTCCGTTTGACACCCCAACGATTATCTATAGCGGCAATAGTAGCCGGTCTTTCGTCGGACGTTCCGGTCTCTGAAACCGCTGACGGGTTTCTCTCTCTCTCTGTCTCTCTCTTCTCTCAGCCTGAGGCCTTCTGCACAGTCCTCTACCTACCGCCTGGCCCAACCTAACCTCTCTCGTCAACCCGCGGCCCCCCTCGCGCGTCCGAAAACTTCCCCGAACCCGACCCGGACAGTCGTCACCGATGGGTCCGGATCATCCCCTAACATCTACAAAACGTCTCTGTTCTCTTAGTTAGGCTCCCTAACCTATTTATCCGGGACCGTATGTTTAAGATCGGAGGGACCAAATGCCCCTATCCAAAATCCACTGACTATATATAGACCCCTAACCTAATCTAGACAAACCCCTAATTTCTAGGGATCCTACCCTAGCGCCGCCACCCACTTTCTCCACAATTTCAGTGCCACCCAGTCGTCGCCTTCACCTGCCTTCCTCGATCCACCCCGCCCCTGCTCCCCTGAGACCATGCAGCTCCTCGTCGCCTCTCTTCTTCCCCGCTGCTCCCTCTCCCTCTCTCTGTAACATCTCTGGCGCCTCACTTCTCTCTCACACACAGGACCACGCCGGCGACCGGAGCAGCCGCCCTTGTCTCTGGACCCGCGCCCAGTCTTTGTTCCCGTTCCGCTCGTTGCGTGACCTCTGCTCTCCGCCTGGACCTCCCCGCCACCAGATTCGTACTGCTGCAGCCGTTCCCCGACGCCCTGCTGCCGCGATGGAACGATGGCCGCCGGACCTCCTCCATGTTGGCTTCTACCAGCGCGCCCTTCCTCATCCTCGTCGTTCATCACCTGGCTGCCGGAGTCGCAAGAGAACGCCAAGCCCCACCATGGTCGCCAGGGCCTTCCCCGACCTCGATCCGCCAAGTCCGCCGGCGGGAACAGCCTTCACCGCTCGGATCCGTCGATCCCTCGACCTGCCGCCTCGGATCCCGGCGACCCCAGTTCGCCGTTGCCGCGCCGAGACCTGATGCCGCCTCGCCGTTGACCTTCAGCGCCGCGTTCTGTCTCTGTCGAGCAAAGTACGAAGGAGCGGTTCCTCGTCGTCGCTTTGACCGCAGGCCTAGCAAGCGCCAGGCTGGCCCAGCTCCAGCAACTCCCGCACCGCACCGGGCCTAGCATCACCGACCTGGGCCATGGCCCATGGGTGAGCTGCCCCTCTCCTTTTGCACTATTGGCCCATGTGCAGTTTCGGCCCATAGCCATTTTTTCCTAGATATGCGATTTAACGATTTTCCCAGGATTTGCCGTTTTGCAGAAACACCCTTGCACATCATGCACATCATAACTCACCAACCGTGCATCGGATCTAAATAAATTATATATGTAACTTGACTAGAATTTCATCTAGTTTAATAATATGCCACTTTCAATCATGTTTGACATGTTTAAACTGCTGTTTGCATTAATTTTCTCTTATGCCATGCTAAAATGCTTTATTTCATAACTAATTAACCGTAGCTCGGATTTAAATAATCTTTATATGTAAATGGGGTGGAAAAATGCCTAGTTTAACATGTTTTACTTGCTTTGCATGTTTAATAACTCTAAAATGGTGTTTAGGGCAGAACAGTACCAAATTCAAATATGCACATGAGGAGTTTCCGGACTTGTTGTTTTGTTGTTCCGGCCTCATTTAAACTTGACTAGATAGGTAGTTTTACTTTGCTTCACCCTCTTGCCATGTTTAACAACATTTATTATTATTGGGTACATAAACGAGATCGAACTAAATAACTTGAATGTGGTGTTCCGTCAATATGCAACTCGTTGCATATTGAGCCCCACTTAATTTGTAGTATTGTTTGTGCACTTTGCCATGCCATGCCGCATTAAACCGGACATGCATCATACTTGATTGTGCATCATGCCATGTTTATGTGATGGTTGTTTACTTTGTTGTTTGCTTCTTTCCGGTGTTGCTTCTTTGGGTTGGTTCCGATAACGTTGCGTTTGTGAGGATCCGTTCGACTACGTCCGTTTGTCTTCTTCATGGACCCGTTCTTCTTCCTTGCGGGATCTCAGGCAAGATGACCATACCCTCGAAATAACATCTATCTTTGCTTGCTAGTTGCTCGCTCTATTTGCTATGCCGCGATACCTACCACTTGCTATATCATGCCTCCCATATTGCCATGTCAAGCCCCTAACCCACCTTTCCTAGCAAACCGTTGTTTGGCTATGTTACCACTTTGCTCAGCCCCTCTTATAGCGTTGCTAGTTGCAGGTGAAGATGAAGTTTGTTCCATGTTTGGAACATGGATATTGTTGACATATCACTATATATACATTGTTTAATTAATGCATCTATATACTTGGTAAAGGGTGGAAGGCTCGGCCTTATGCCTGGTGTTTTGTTCCACTCTTGCCGCCCTAGTTTCCGTCATACCGGTGTTATGTTCCTTGATTTTGCGTTCCTTACGCGGTTGGGTTATAATGGGAACCCCTTGACAGTTCGCTTTGAATAAAACTCCTCCAGCAAGGCCCAACCTTGGTTTTACCTGTTGCCTCGCCACCACCTACTTTTCCCTTGGGAGTCGCGCCCCCGAGGGTCATCTTTATTTTAACCCCCAGGGCCAGTGCTCCTCTGAGTGTTGGTCCAAACTAGAGCCCCTTGCAGCGCCACCTCGGGGAAACTTGAGGGTTGGTTTTAGTTGTACGGATTGCTCATCCGGTGTGCCCTGAGAACGAGATATGTGCAGCTCCTATCGGGATTTGTCGGCACATTCGGGCGGCTTTGCTGGTCTTGTTTTACCATTGTCGAAATGTCTTGTAACCGGGATTTCGAGTCTGATCGGGTCTTCCTGGGAGAAGGAATATCCTTCATTGACCGTGAGAGCTTGTGATGGGCTAAGTTGGGACACCCCTGCAGGGTTTTGAACTTTCAAAAGCCGTGCCCGCGGTTATGGGTAGATGGGAATTTGTTAATATTCAGTTGTAGAGAACTTGAAACTTAACTTAATTAAAATGCATCAACCGCGTGTGTAGCCGTGATGGTCTCTTCTCGGCGGAGTCCGGGAAGTGAACACGGCATTGGAGTTATGCTTGAAGGTAAGTAGTTTCAGGATCACTTCTTGATCACTTCTAGTTCACGACTGTGCTTTGCTCCTCTTCTCGCTCTCATTTGCGTAAGTTAGCCACCATATATGCTAGTGCTTGCTGCAGCTCCACCTCACTACCTTTTCCTACCCATAAGCTTAATAGTCTTGATCTCGCGGGTGTGAGATTGCTGAGTCCTCGTGGCTCACAGTTACTTCCAAAACCAGTTTGCAGGTGCCGACGATACCGTGCAGGTGACTCAACCGAGCTCAAGGAGGAGCTCGATGAAGATCTTGTTCATCATGTTATTTCGTTTCAGTTGATCAGTAGTGGAGCCCAGTCGGGGCGATCGGGGATCTTTTGCATTAGGGGTAGTCTTCTTTTATTTTGGTTCCGTAGTCGGACCTTGATTGTATCTGGTTGATGTAGTGCTATATCTATGTATTGTGTGAAGTGGCGATTATAAGCCAACTCTGTACCTCTTTCTTATTCAGTACATGGGATGTGTAAATATTACCCCTCTTGCGACATGCCTACAATGCGGTTATGCCTCTAAGTCATGCTCCGACACATGGGAGATATAGCCGCATCGTGGGTGTTACAAGTTGGTAATCAGAGCCTTCCCTGACTTAGGAGCCCCCTGCTTGATCAAATCGCTGGCGTTGTTGAGTCTAGAACAAAATGTTTTGAGTCTTATAGGTTTATATATATCAGAGAGTAGGATTATTTTTACTCCTCAGTCCCTTCGTCGCTCTGGTGAGGCATCCTGACGTAGAGTTTTGACTCTTCTCTTCTCAAATTTCACTAAAAAAATTTAGGATCATGCTGGTATCTTGGAATTGTTCCGATGGTTTTGTGACGAGAACATTGTTCTTGGTGCCTCCTGACATTTAGGGGTTGTGGCAGTGTCCCGGGGAGTTGAGCTCCGAGGTGTTGTCGTCACAATTTTATCGTTGCAATTCTGGAATACCTGAGTTTCGCCGACATCGAAAATCTCTTTTATGCAGTTGTTGGTGAGATAACCTCGACGCCACCTAGTACTGGGGCGGGAGTTCGGGAGTATTGCCATAACTCGTATAACGGATGCTTTTCGAAGGTTGAGGTAAATGATTTCCAAAGGTTTCTTGGTTATGTGTTGAAGGATGGATATAGCTGGATGTAGGATTTGCTAGTTTTGGGTGAGATATTATGCTTCCCCTGTATCCCCAACACCTGATTGCATAACCAGAAAGTTTCGGGAGTTTATAAGTGGGAATTCAAGTAGCTCTTAGAATATCTTTCTGACAGATGCATGATACGAGATTGGGGTTCGACGTCTAGTGGTCCGCCTATCCACGGTTGGTTTTACAATGGTCTTGTTGTGTCTTAAAGAGTCCTTGGCTATGCTGACTCGGGGATGCTTCGTATGTCATGTGCACTGCCTTGTACATGATGGTGTTGTACGATCGAGCCCGCGTGGGCCCCACCACAAAAACTTCGGACGAAATCTCTATCATATGTTTGTTCCGGCTTATGCTGCAAGCCAATCCTTTGTTTTCTTTTGGTATTTGAGTTGCTTCAAAGTCAAGGTTGTTTCCATACCTTTCCTAAGCGGTGTTCTCATATTCCTATGCGAATACAAATCCTTCTTGATCTTCGAGGTTGCCATCTCAATTTCTTTTGAACCGGTGTGTCTCGCTTCAAGTGGCTCCGATCATTTCAACATCCGCAAGATCAACTCAAGTCTTCTCAACGTTGTTCGTTTCATCTGTCCCCAAGTTTGCCTTTGTTTTCCCGCCCACCCACCCCCTTTTTCTTCAAGGACTCAGATTTCTTAATCAAGTATCCATCGTATTGATGTGAAGTCTCTCCATTCTTTTCCATCAATATTCTTATCCGGTGATTCTCATGAAGATGCTCTACAAGTTCATCATTATTCGTTCTTTTTCTCCGGTGGATTCAATTCTAGTTTTGTTGATCATGTCCTTTCCTCGTTTTAAATGCTTTCCATGCCGTTGCATCTCTTAATCATCCACCTCTTGCTATATTTGTTCCGGAGTGCCAAAGTTATCTCAGAAGGCTCGTCTTGTCATTCAAGATCCGTTCAACTTATTTCAAGGTTGTTATCTCATTCAAGCCGTTTAATTCAACTGGTGCTATCTCCTTTTCAAGTAATTGTTCAACGGTGTTTTCTCTTGAGTGGGCCCTAACCCACAGGTCTTTTCCCAGGATCTTACCTGACTCTTCTAATTTTCACCGGAGGTATTCTCAAATTCTTTTCGAAGTTTGACGTAAGAATGAGTTATCATCAGTCAAATGCCTTCTCCAAGATCTTTCACATTATTTTTATCGTTGGCTCAACCTTTCTATTTTTCATTCCGGAGTATCTCAACAATTCTTGGTGGTGCTTCTCATCGTAGTTCTCAACATTTGAAGACCGAACAAGAATTTGTCTTCAATCTTATCCATTCTCTCAGAGATGCGTAGTTCAAGCTTGATACCATCCTCTCACAATTGTTTTCGATTGTGAGAATTCTTTTCACCTATCCAGAGCAATTCAAGATTCTTTTCAGTTTGATTATCTGAAGGCCATCATTTCGGGTTTATTCATTCTCAGCGTTCAGCTCTCGTTCTCCAAATCTAACCGGTGCATCATTCAATTATTCTCTAATCATCTCGGGATCTATTCGTTCTCATGTATGTAAATTCCTTCAAGTTATCATCATTCGTTTTCCAATTCTTCCCGATGAATTGTGCCTTTGCTATGTTCATTTTTCAATTCTTACGGTGGTTCGTTCAAGATTTCTTTTCCTTCATAATCATATCAATTTATTCGTTGGTTCAATCCTACCGGTGGTTCGTTAAAGACCTTCTCAAGATTACGCTATATCTATATTAATCCTTTCTATGAGAATAAGTAGTATGCCAAACCCGTTGTTTGTCATCATTTTAA